TATTAAACTTACAGGATTGAAGTCTGGTGAGTATGCTGGTAAAAATTCTAATCGAATACCTTTTTCTTGACAAATTTCATTCAAATGTTGACCTTTATGTATTTGTGTATTATCTAAAATTAATACACTATATTTTCCAGGAAATGGATTCATCTTGGGTAACTATATTTTATTAAAATATTTTAATATTTTGTGTATTATAAATTTAATAAAATACATAAATTATTAAAAATTTATTACTAAAACATGCTTGATAAAATTTTCATAATCCTGAGTATTCATTGAACCTTCCTGAATACTATATGCTAGTAAACCATTAACACACAGTGCACCTTTAATTGTAAACCATTTTCCTCGCACAAAAAATGTATATTTTTGGGCACGTAACCCTAAAAAACTCCAACTATAACGACGTGAAAGTGTTCTTTGATCATATGCTAATTCATCTGAAAAAACCAATTGATCTGGTGTATACTGAGACATTCGCAAAACAAAGTTATTTCTATCAACTTGATTTCTCTCTTTTGCACATTTTGAAATCTATAATATATAAAATAACTCTTTTAATATCAATTTATAAAATAAAATGCCTATATATAAAAAATTTTACCTGTTTGTTTGTATATCCAAGCCTATGAATAGCCCTCCAAATTGTTGAAAGGCTAATGTTACAGCCCAACCAAAGCTCCATCTCTGATTGCAACTCATATAAATACCAATCAGGTTTTTCTTTCATTAAAGTATTAAGATATTTCATATCATCTATACTTAACAAACGTGGCCTTCCTATAAGCGATGGGAGTTCTTCAACACACCCATATTTCTGAAATTGTTTAAGAACTCGACCAACTGAAGACTTGCTAATGCCTAAATGTTTGGCAATTACTCGAACTGGGAAGCCTTCTAGATTTTTTTCGACTATTTGCCAACGAATACGCTTTGAGAGTATCATGTTTGACAAGTACAAAAGGATTTAATAAGCTGTACAACGCTAATATTAATAATATATATTGTGTAACAACTTATATGATACGTAATGCCAACAATACCGAAATTAATAGTTTATCGAATTCGGCAGAATTAATTTCGGCCAAATTTTTATCAGTTGTCCCAGAATTTATGAGAACAGCTGTAAACCCTCCGAAATAACTATACTATATGATGTATTCTGATGAAAGAGTCCAAAAAATTTTGGCAATAATTTCGGCAAATATTTCGGCACTACATAAGACTAATTTCGGCTGCCTAAATGCCGTAATTACTTTTTTATTAAGATGGGCAATTTAGGCACACATGTATACAGTTATCACCCAGTCTGTTGTATATAGGAGGGGATGACTATACATGGTGTCTAAATTATTTTCCTCTTGTCGTAAATTTAAATGGCTGAATTATTTTGGACAGCCTAAATCGTAAATTATTTAGGCTTCTCAAATATTTTAGGATGTCTAAAATATTTTAGAATACCTAAAATATTTTGGATGTCTTAAATATTTTTTGATGTCTAAAATAATTTGAATGTCGAAAATTAAATATTTAAATGCGATGAGATTTTAGAGTACCGAAACTAATCTTTAGATTAAATAATCTTAAAAATTGAATATATTTAATATTAGTCAGAAGCATAATCATCATCGAACTCTTCATCTTGGGCCTATACATGGGTGTCTAAAATAGGGATGATTTACAGCAGACGGCATGGCGAAATTTTTTTAGTATTTTTGACAGTGTTTCAAAATGTTAAGTGTCTAAATTGTTTTTTGTTGCCGAAATTATTATCAACTGCCGAGATTATTGTGGCTGCCTATATTATTACTGCTGATATTATTATAGACTGTCTATATTATTATATTTAAAGTCTTTAATTCTATCAAAATTTATTATTTCATTTATTAGTATCCACATTATTGTCACATTTTACCAAAAAACTTTTATTTAATATTAATGTTATCAAGAGTATCATATCGGTATTAAGAATTTTTCTATTATAAATAAAGTATCCTTTTGCTATAAAAATTATATTCCTCAAAAGTAAATAAAAACCTAATACTTAAAATAATTGATCAATTTTTAAATTATTACTTAATATGTACTGTAACTTAAATCCCAAATAATTTCTCATGACTTACAAGCTCTCTTATAATAATCTCTTCCCAGATTAGAACAATAAACGTTATACGCTTTCTTCAAAATAATTGATAAAATTTAATTCGTTCTTAGCATTCTTAAGAAATAAAGTTATTATCTGGTATATATGTACGTGAGAACATATTGCAGAAAACGTATCAAATATCGCGAAATTGCATGCTTATTATATAGCTAATACTCAAAATGATCTTAACTATATTAATTACTCGGTTTCTCAGTCAAAATTTGAGCAAGTTATGGAAAATTACGTGAATATGGTTGAGTTTGATGATCTAGGTCAAATCCTGAAAGTCAAAATCCTGAAATTTAGTTATCGCGTCAGTTCAAACTCCGTTTATGATTAGTCATCATGATATATATACTTATTGTGCATGTCCTATGTGCGCACCTGAACTTTTTCATATATGTTATTGATCACTTTCTAATTATTCAATACACAACTTCTGACCACTTTATATGTACGTAATATACAAATATTAACCACTTTATATGTACGCAATATACAAACTCTGATCACATTATATATGAAAATATGTGAATTTCGCTCACTTTAAAAGCTTATAAATTTTAATCGCATTATAGCAGAATTAATAATTTACATGAAAATTAAATAAATCTGCGCAAGTTTTAAATTGATATTTAAGTTGTAAGTTTGTGGAAAAGTACTTGGAGGAAGTTTGATGATGATATTATTACTAATATCGGAGAGACTTCTTTTATTCTTACGGTAACTAATATCAGAGTGACTTCTTTTATTATTACGATACAAATTGAAAAGAGGAGAATCAGGCTTGACAGGTGGTTTAAAAGGAGTCATTACAGAAGTGCTTTTGTTGTAGTGTTTTTGCTTGGAAATTTTTGATTGTAAATTCGCTTCTGTATACACGTGAGGCTTGCTGCAATCAATCGATTTCTTCTTGCGATGGAAGTTGCGAAGCTTTCATAAAATTCATTTTTTTTTTAGTGAAATTGTTTTGAAAAAAATGTAAGCGAAAGAATGAGAGAATTGAATTGTAATTAGAAAGTGCTCAATTACATATATGAAAAACTATGGTGCTTACGTCAGACATACCCAATAACCGTGTTATCAGTTAAATTGCATATGATAAAAATTACATAGTAGGGACTATATATTTCACGTGGCTTCGCCACGTGAAATATATAGTAACCTAGTATGTAATAGGTTATCATCCACAACATAACCAATAACAAGTACATGTGGCCGAAATGCTTTGGCTATTTCAGCCACTTGGCAAATGTCCAAAGCAAAGTTATCAGTAATTTGTGACCATTTCGGCCACAGGCATAATTATGATGACTAATTATAAGCGGAGTTTGAACCGACGCGATAATTAAGTTTCAGAATTTTGACCTAGACCCAAGATGAATAACTCGATGATGATTATGCTTCCGACTAATATTCAACATATCTAATTCTTAAGATTATTTAATCAAAAGATTAGTTTCGGTATTCTAAAATTTCATCGCATTTGAAAAATATTTAATTTTCGACATTCAGAATATTTTAGATATCCAAAAATATTTAAGATATCCTAAAATATTTTAGACATCCTAAAATATTTGAGAAGCCTAAAAAAATTTCGCAGCCTAAATTATTTACGATTTAGGCTGCCTAAAATAATTTAGCCATTTAAATTTACGATCAAAATTCTGAAACTTAATTATCGTATCTGAATTATCTGGATAATCCATATCGGATAAACAGATCAAAATATCCGGATAATCATTCGAATATCAATAATAAACGGATATCCGATAAAATTGAGGACACTTCGGATAACGGATTACGAATATCTAACGCTAATGGATAAATGGATATAAATAGATAATGGATGGGAACACTAGGATTTTGACTTTCAAGATTTGACCTAGACCCCTTTTATTAAACATACGTACGTAACATTACCAAACTCAACCATATTCACATAATTTTTTTCATAACTTGCTCAAATTCTGGCTGACAAACCGTGTAATTAATATAGTTAAGTTCCATTTTGTGCATTAGTTATAATAAACATGCAATTTCGCGATATTTGATACGTTCTCTACAATACGTTCTTACGTACATACATATCAGATAATACCTTTATTTATTAAGGATGCTAAGAACGAATTAAATTCGATCAATTATTTTAATTATTTTAGAGAAATCGTATAGCATTTATTGTTCAAATCTCGGAAGAGATAATTATAAGAGAATATTCAAAAGAGAATATTCAATATCAAATTCAATATTTATAAGTCGTGAGAAATCAAGTTATAGTACATATTAGAGTTGCTGGTGAAACTAAATTGTGTTGGTGACTATCTAAAATCTGATTGGCTATTAAGTGCAATAGCCAATCAGATGTTAGATAGTCACCAGTTTCACCAGCACAATTTAGTTTCGCCAGCAACTCTAGTACATATTAAGTAATAACTTTATTTAAAAAATTGATCGATTATTTTAAGTATCAGGTTTTTATTAACTTTTGAGGTATAATTTTTATAGCAAAAGGGCGCTTAATTTATAATAGAAAAAATTCTTAAAACAATCATATTAAATAAAATTTTTTGTAAAATGTGACAATAAAGTGAATATGGTTGAGTTTGATGATAATACTTATGTTTAATAAAAGGGATCTAGGTCAAATCCTGAAAGTCAAATCCTAGTGTTCCCATCCATTAGCTATTTATCCATTTATCCATTAGTTATTCGTAATCCGTTATTCGAAGTATTGTTTATCGGATATAGCATAGTTAAAAATCCATTTGATTGGTTGTCGATCCCTGATATTTCATTGGCTACTTATAATAGGCGCCCTATAAAAATACAATTGATCATATGAAGCATGATAGAAATTTGTTTGGATTTTTATATTATTGTACAATAGAAAATTTTAAATTAAAGTAGCTATTTCGAAATTTTTATATTAAAAACCCCCTGAAATTTGGTCCGAAGGTTTTTTGGGCGCTTAACTTTCATATAAAAGTTTAGGATCAAGTGGGAACAAGTGTTCCACCAACTTTCATTAGGAGCGATTCTGACATTACAAGCATGTAGTACGTTAACAATATTATATTTTTTTTAACTTTCAAAGAGTAATAATTAATAAAAATAATATTTCCTTTTGAATAGATGTTTCGAACTTCACGTGAGCAAGATAAAATCAATCATCATTTCACGAAATCCCATAAAAGTATCGGAGACGCAATCCTTGGAATGACAAAAATTAATTCTTTTAATCTTGGCCAATCAGAGTTTTTGTTGATTAGCCAATCAAAACAAATTTCCATCATGCTATCATATGACAAGTCTCTAAGGGATATGATGATATCTGATTAAATTCACCGGGAGCAAGTAAAATCGAAGAATAATTTTTTTAAAAAAATTTCATCAACTATTTATTATAAAAATTTATTATTTGCAAACCGAAAGTAATAAATTTTTATAATAAGCAGTTAATGAAACTTTAAAGAAACTTTGTTACTTGCTTTCAGCACATTTAATCAGATATAATCATATTCGTTGAGGGTTTGTCATATGATCGATTGTATTTTGATATAGTGTCACGATTTAATTAAGCAAATCGTGACCATAATATGATTATTAGAATAGAATGTGCCCCTAACGTGATTAGTATCGATGCCACAAGGATATTGTGAGGCTAAAGGTGGGCGAAAGCTTAGAAGTTTAGATCTGTACAAATAAATATTTTATTCGTCATCTTTGTTTATTTTTACAGTATTTATAGATTCTTTTTATTTGTTTGTTATTGTGATGACCTGGGGATTAGGTCTGGAGCATAGTTGTAAAAATCGGCTTAGAAGGCATAGGTCTGGTCGGGCTAAGGTTGGATGGGTTAACAACGTTAGAACTAAGTATAGATCCAGACTTAAAAATAAGAAGTGTATTTTGTCTTTGTAGTAAACCTTCAATGTATAAAAGAGCAGTCTTTACGCTCTTCTAATAAAGCCTTAGGCTTCAATGTCTTTAATATAGGAGTATTAAGAATTGATTTCTCACTTGTTGTTAGTCACCTTGTTGTATTTATTGTTATTTCCCTGCCTTAACCGTTAAGATTCTTAATGATCGTATTATACATTTTTATTATTACTCTTTGTTCTATTAAGTATTTACATACGTCATCTACCTTGAGGACATTGATGTCCGTGAAACACGTCATTTATATTATAAACTGTTTTGATCTAGGTTTGAACTTTTAAATTAATTACCTGATCGATTACCGGTAGATATAATTAAGTGCTCCGATTAATTACGTAATCTCACGTGCACAAGCGATTATTATAAACGATTATATTACTATTTGATGATTATTAGTTCTCACAAAGAACATATAAAGTTAACTATTGGAGTTAAATTGTGCCGATATTGTGAAAGCTCTCCCAAAACAATAGTAACAATAGGAAGTTACTATGAAAATCATTAACCAATTAGATGGATTTTTAACTATGCCTATTGGAATAATTATCCGAATATCTGTCGGATTATCCGATCTGTTTATCCGATATGGATTATCCAGATAATTCAGATACGGTGTTACGGTCGAGTAGGAGAGCTTCGATAAATTTGGTCCGGTTTAGCTTCGATCGTAGACAAAAATGGGTAAAATTGAATAGCGTAGATCACGTGCTCGATAGTCAAAGAGTTTTATATTACGGTTTAATAGTTTAATTTCAGTTTATAAACTAACTTCTGATATTACAGGGCAAAGGTTTCTCTTTATTTAATGTTTCTCAAATACAATTAACACATCGAATTACACCCGAGTACAAATGCAAAATAAGACTGCAAACTACTGCGAGCGATCATTGTCCTTATACAGATCCGAAACCCACCCCTTTTATATTTGTTAATTCAGCCTAGAGTCTTAAACTCCAGCTGAGAGTCCTTCACTCCAACCAGGAGTCAATTACTCCCAGTGAGAGCTTATAACTCCATCCGGGAGTCTAAAGCTCCTATGCGCCCCAACGATCATCCCTAACTATACCAAAATAAGGAAATAATAAAATAATACTAATAATGACAAATAATAACAATGAAATTTCTAAAATAAGAAGGTTATGCGTATTCGGGCATAACACCGGTCAATTATGAGCCGTTCCTATCCCCAGCTCTTAACAAAAAAATTGGTCGATTTGCCAACACTGTTTATAGATATATTGAACCGATTTTACCAAAGGTTTAAATCTTATATTAGTTTACTATAGTACACTGACTAAAATACCTTTATTTTTTAGTTAAAATATCCAGGTATTTTGCATAGCAGATACTTTGCATGGCATTTTCACACCACTACATACGTACGTACGTACGTATTGATTTCCATATTACAACATATTTGGGATTTTTGCTAGAAAATGATCCTCAAACTATGTTGATTTGTAAATTTCTAGCTATCTAGTTATCCAATTGGAATAAACTTTTCTTATTCTGTAGAACTTTTTTAACACTACCAAATAAAAAAAGTTCTAGATAGCTGGCACATTTAGATTCCATATATGTCTACAAATTAGGGTTGTTAATGGAGTGCTCCAGTTAATAATAAAACATATAACCCACTCCGGAGCACTCCAGAAGCGGGTTATATGTTTTATTATAGTCTGGAGTACTCCATTAACAACCCTACTACAAGTACCCCCGATATAATATATCCATCATCAAACAAGATAGATACCCACGGGTATTTTGTAAATTTTTTAGAAGGTATATGTATTTTGTATTAGACCTGGGTCTTTTAGTCAATGTACTACGGTAGTACGTATGCTAATTTCTAAAAAAACTATTAAACACTACAGCACTACGTACTGTACGTACAGTACATGATTCACATTGTGCTTAATTTACGCATAATAACTCTATCAACCTTACCACTAACACTATGTTTAGTCGTTCCGATTATTGCGCAAATAAACCAATAAAAATCAATGTTTATTAACTCGCGTGATTTTGTATTTCTCTATAATTTCGAACTTGTACTTCTGGGATCTGGAAAATAATTGGGATCTTTGGAATTCATAATATATGTTCTTATACCGGATAAACAAAATAAAGTTGAAATGTAAAACTTTAAATCTTATTTGAGTTTTCAAATATTTACTGTTATGATAACTTTCATGATTTGAATAAAAATGGAAATGAAAATAACATACAAGTCGATCAAAATAATTATAACTTTCTTTCTTTCCAAGATTTCAAAATTTTTTGAACCTTCCAAAATTATTCCAAAAAGAAGTTAAAAATCATAAGCAAGACATCTTGAACTAAGATTGCTAACACTTGTTATAAGGTTCGGAAATACGTTGTGGGTTAAAATAATTATTGTTCAGAAAGCAATCGTATCACTATTCTTGATATTTGTAAAGTATTAAAAGGTCTTAAATGCATAACGATAAGTACGAGGCATACATATGAAATCTGACATGCGATATGACGAGATAAAAGAAATTGTCATATTTAGGCATTTAATTTATTTCATTTGTTTTATGTAATTGGAAAACTAGCAAAATTAATCTGTAATCGTAAACAATAATGATGGTTGAGCAAAGAGACGTGATACAACAAATATGTGATTATCTGCACTTTACCTGTTCGCTTTACACTATTTGTTCGCCATTGTTTATTGTGCAAATCTCATGACGGTTTTTTTCGTTATGCGGTATGTAATTTAAGAATACATTAACCTTGCTATAAATATCTTTCTTGGTTCAGGTATATTTGGTTTTAATTTTCACTTTCATTTATAAACTTAACTTTTTTGTACTTACGTACATACGTACCCTAAAAAAACGGGTTATTTTTTTTTTTCGAAAAGAACGGTCGATTGTTATTTTTTTTTTGGTTTAATACGATATCGTAATTTATTTATCGTTCTAACTTATAAAATTCTGATTGTATTTAGACATGGATCAAATTACTTTACAGTTTCTTAGATATCCTTTTTCACATGGTTATAAATATCTTCCAAAGACTATTATAATTATATTATTTGAAACTTTATTATGGCGAATAATTGACATAGATTATTGCATTTATACATTTATTTTTAGTTTCATCATCGCTATTTATTTAGAAACGGACAAAAACCATTTAAAGTCATTTCATTTGATACTCAATAGATATTTTATTTTATCTTCGATATCAGGATGTTTCTTATTATTAACTTCGATTTGTTATATCCTATATGGTTATTGGATATCTTTTATCATAGTATTTAGTGTTTTGATTTATTCTAGCATGTCCTCTTTACCGAAATTGTTTTTTCCTTATGATATTTTGTCACTTTTAATTCGTATTTGTGGGTTAAGTTTGTATTTATACTTATTTCCTGCCTTGTTAAAGGAAATTGCGTATATTCTATCTCTATTTATGCCATCATTTTTTTTACAAATATCACATCTCTCCGGATACTACTTATTTCTCGCAACCACTATTTGTGTGTTGGATGTTCAGGACAAAATGATAAATTCTGTTACCTTGTCTAGAGTACTTCAGGTTTATCAATTACGTAAAAAAGAACACGGAATTTTCGAATACATAAATAATTATATTGACAAGATCAAAGCTTCCAATATCCCAATTACTCCATTTTGTCCTTGTCAAAACTCTGAGTCGAAGGTCAATAATAGTGGTTGGTGTGAATCTTGCGGATTAGGTCTGGTGCCTGGTATCATGCTTCCTCCTTGGACCAGTGGGCATCCAGAAATTAATAGGATTCTCTTTCGTACTCAAATTGAATCTAATCATATTTTTGATCATATCGAATGGATCAATTATGATAGGTTTACAGATGTTAAAAAAATTATAGGAGAGGTTTATTCCGCTTCTTGGGTAGACGGACCGATGTGTTTATACGGAATGGCAAGAAATGGCGCTCAAAATGTGATTATTAAAAGCCTTGGAAAATCTTCTGCTAATGTGACCCCCGAGTTTCTTCATGAGGTATATCTACATATATGTATATTTTGTTTTAATATCTTTTTTATATCTTTTTTATTCTCTAACAAATACCATTTTTTTAAAAAAAAAAAATAAATGTAATGGAATTTTTTATATGAACAGCTTGAATTATACGTCAAACTTATCACATCGTACACGGAATTACGTTATGAATTATTAGGATCTATTCAATGTTACGGCCTAACTCGAAATCCAAGTACTCAAGAATATATGTTGGTTAGCGAATATATCAAAGGAGGCGATTTACGAAATTATCTTTCCAGAAACTTCAAAAACATGAAGTGGCTTGAAGATAAATTGCAAATTCTTATTTCAATCGCAAAAGGATTAAAATTAATTCATGAATCAGGGTTTGTTCATCATAATTTACACTTGGGAAATGTGTTGATAGGAGAAGATGGTTCGGCTTATATTTCAGATCTTGGATTATATCCCTTTATCACCTTATCTGATCAGGATTCAGAAAATTTAAGAAACGAAGCAACGTCGAAAGGAATATTTGGAGTTCTTCCTTATGTAGCACCTGAGGTATTAGAAAGAATTCTACCATATACAAAGGAATCAGATATATATAGTTTTGGCATTATAATGTGGACACTTTCTTCAGGAAAGTTGCCATTTTCTGGGTGTTCATTTAACACTAGTTTAGCTTTAGAAATATGTAACGGTGAAAGACCAGAAGTTAATGTTGATGAAACTCCACAATGTTATATTGATTTTATGAAAAGATGTTGGGATTCTGAACCGCATAAAAGGCCAAATATTCAAGAAATTTATGAAATTTTATTAGATTGGTATTTCTTGGTAAATGAATATGATGAATTTAAAAAATTTGATGAAATGATAAAAAGTGATGAAGAGAAACCTACAATATTTGAAAGTGAAAACGTTCATTGTAGCCAATTTATCGATTTGGATGCTATTTCAAAAGAAGAAACATTTGAAGTTTTGGATGATGGTAAATCAGTTTTTTCATTACTGCGTCGTATTAACTGAATACTCTATGGATTGTATTGATTCTTTTTTAATTTTTTTATTTATTTATTTATTTTTTTTTTAAAAAAAAAATGTAATAACTATAGATGACCTATATTCTGCAAAACCTTATAATATTGAAATCCCATCGGATGCTTCAACAAATTAATTATATATTAAACTATTAGAATTATTTTGATATTAAATAAATGTAGAACGTCTAGTTTTATTTTTCGTATTTAACATTGCATTACTCAAACTAGTTACTTTCGCTAGCTTTCACAATATCGATATGCGCTACTGGGATGGTCATAGTTTCATAGAATTTAGCTCTTAGGCTGCCCACCCTTTGAGAACCAGTTTATCTGGTATTAATAATTACCATTTCTTCTCCATTCCCACATATAAAAATGTTCCGAATATTTCTAAAGTGATTGACAGAACTTCAATGCATATCGATTACGCGTTTAATGCTTGATTGGTTCGGAAGCATGTTGTGATATGAAAATGAGAAACAACCAGTACGAAAGTAATAACGACGTTCCAATTGTGATTCGAATTCATGAATCGACAATAAAATTTTTATAATGCTCTCAATCTTAAGTAAATGAAAGTAATATACAATAATAAAAAGATTTTTAACGATAATAAAATAAAAAATATATATATATATATGTTTCATGATTATATTTCGTTTACCGACATAATATAAATTTAATCCACTGATTGTGTCAAGTCCTCAATTTTCCCGATCTGATTTAGGGTCAGCATTGTTGGCCTGATTTAGAGTTGGTCAATTCATGTGTAGACTTATGACATCACCTAGTTACGTCCTATAATAAAACGCAATTGAGCCGTAACTAATGACGTAAATAAGCCTGCATCTATGAAAATAAAAAAAATAAAAGTAAATTGAAATCTGTTTATTATTTCTATTAATTAAATCAAGGTAATTAATTACAGTTATATGACGGAAATTAACTGTAGGAATTTATTAGGTGCTTATCACTACGTATTATTTATTAATTAACGCTTACTCTCTGATCTTCTCCAATTATAGCTATGTTTATCCATGTGCATGATCTTTGACTGGTCTTTTCATTACTCGGGAAATTTTCTTAAATTCAAATATCGATGTTCAATCAATTTCAATATTTAAGATAAAAATATATTACGTGACAAGACTTGCGTAAGTGTAGGACATACTACTCAAGAATATAGTCCAATGAATAATCAAAGTTTGATCAAAAATCCCCGAATATTCATAACGGTACGGATCCTATATGAAATTAGTAGAGTTTTTGTGTAACATTCGTAATAAACTACTGCGGCAACGGTTCGATAAAATTTCAGTTTATGAAAAAAAAGCATTCTATTACCTTAAAATACGCTATCCATTGAACTCTTATGCGAAATTTCTAAATAGATTAATACTGTATATAGAATGCCGAGAAAATATATGGCGATTTTTTACAAAAAATTGTAAAGTTCAAATTGTAACTCTTCGAAATTTCACATGAATTTAATGGATAGCATATTTTAATGTAAAAGAGTTTTTTTCATAAACTAACAAATAATGGACTATACATTTATGTTAATTATAAAAATACTGCAGCAACAATATAATTTCGATTAAAATTTAATTATTTTGCAGGTTATGAAAAAAAAGCGCTCTATTTCATAATTTGCTATCCGTTATACTTTCACGTGAAATTTCCAAATAGATTAATATGTAGAATGTCGAGGAGATACAATTGAAGTTTACAATTCTTTGTAGAAAAATCGCCATATATTTACTCGACATTCTATATATTAATCTATTTAGAAATTTCGCGCGAGTGTTCAATGGATATCATATTTTGATATAATAAAGCTTTTTTTCATAACCCGAATAAATAATTTTCATTGAAACTATACTATTGCCGCAGTAGTTTATTATGAATGTTATACAAAAATCTTTACTGATTGAATAGGATTACATATAGAACATCCCAATGCTATATACATACTCTAATCACATGATTTATTTGTATAACTCAATTGGATAAAAAATTTATATTATGTATTAATATGCTTTTTTTATGTTAAGAACAAAAAATTTTTTTTTAATATTAAGGTGATCACTTAGGGGTCTGGTATATTTTATTAACTTTGGTTCAAATGCCAGAACTACCACATGGGCAACTCTAACTTTGTTACATTAACGAGAGTACAATTGGCCATATGTACAACTTTAATCATTGTCTATTTAAGGGCTTTGCTATATTTATTACTATTTATCCACAATTGTCATACCTAAGATCTATTTGTGGATCTCCTATTTAAATCCTCTGATTAACTTAGTATCATTGACTATTTTTCCTAAAAAGGAATTGCTGTATAAGCTTTTTAGGACTTTAAAGCAAACATATACTATCATATAGAGGGTTTTTTATCTTTGTAATAAATCTACTAGAGTGGTCTATGTTTTATATATATATCACTTAGATTTTTGGTAACTTATGCCTAGGCCTGGTTAAGTACTTGTGATATTTTATTTTCACTACCATTACTTACTTCTTGCTCTTGCAAAGTTTATTCAAATCTAGCATTCACTTTACAGACTATCAATAGTACTTCAATGCCAACTGTCAGTACTTTAAATTTCTAATTCAAATAGCCTAAGAGAGACCAGTAAGTGTCTTCTGATATTTTGAATGAATTCTTTTTTTTTTAGTTATGTCTAGTAGCCTAGTTGATATAATGTTTTTGCCAAATATTCAGTTCTTGTTTAGTTTGCTTTTGGTATTCAGTTTCTTAAATAATAATTTTTTACATAGCATTATCAAAGATCTGTGCTCTAAATAAGTCTCTGACCACTCTAGTAGGTTTAGATTACAGATAAATTTTTTCCTGTCTGAGATTTTATTCTTGTATATAATTTTTATTTTTATTTATACTAGTACAAATAGTAGTAGCTTTACAAATTCTTATAAATAGAAGTTTCAGCAACTGTTTTATAATAATTTATACTGTTGTTATTCTAAAAATTATTAATAAAAATATAAGCAAAACCTCACCTTAAAACTAAAAAAAACAAAGATCTATGCTACTTTTCTACTTAAGATTTTTCAAGTGAGCTTCTATATCTCTTGATCTTTTGGATTAATTTGGCTACTTCACTCAGAATTTGAATAATTTATACATTACATTATTGTTCTGCAACTTCACAGTATAAGCTGATGTGATCAAGGTTATAAACACTAACCTGATTAATATATTATATATTTGTTATATCACATTTTATAAATTTAAATTTCATTATTAGTAGGATTTAAACTCTTGTCTTGCTGCTTGGAGATGTGATATTTTACCAATTTCATTAAGTCATTACACCCTTAAAACCAAATATTTAACTATATATCAATTGTATTTTTCAGTACAGAAGTAACAATTATAAAAGATCTTTATAATTATAATATATAAGTTTTTAATATTTGTGATCTATCATATACTGTCTAGTTCATTTTAGAGTTATTAAAAGAAGGCTTTATAAAATAAGAGCTATATAGCAACTAGTATATAGTATATTTTATTTGCTTATTACTCTGAATCCTTCTTATTCCTTATAAAGAGTATATAATTATAAAAGAAACATTATTAAATATTATACTTTTCTTAGAAAATAAAAAAAGAAGTTTCAAACAACTCTTAAAAAAATTTGCAGATATATTTGCATTAGACATTAATAAGCTAAGACAAATTAACCTAGTTATTCATAGAATTTATATAGAAGATATACTTTCTATAAATTCTTAACTTTACTTAATATCTTTAAATAAATAAGCATTTATTAAAAAAGAAATTTAACAAATGCTAAATAATAAATTAATATAACTATCAAATAGTCTATAAACCTTATCTATTATATTAGTAAAAAAAAATATCAAATTATGCTTCTGTATAAACTACAGAAAACTCAACAGTATAATTAAGAATATGCTTACTTATTGTTTTAAATTGATGAAATATTAAATATTCTTGTTAGATCTTATTAGTTCTCTATATTAAATTTTATTAGTAGTTATAGGCAAGTAGTTATATATTTCAAAAACTAAGAAAAAACTGTATTTATTACTTGTTATAAGACTTATAAATTTAATATCATATTCTTTAGACTTTGTAATACCTTTACAACTTTCTAATAATTAATAAACAGAGTTTATAATAAAATTATATAGAAATTTGTAATAGTATGCTTAAATGATACAATTGTGTATTTCAAAACTTTTGATAAAATATTTGCAATATCTTTATAAAGTTTTTACTAAAATCAAATGAGCTGAACTATAATTAAATATTAAGAAATATAATTTTTAAATACAAAAATTAATATTTCTGAAATATATTATATCATCTAAAGAAATTATCTTAGACTTAAGAAAATTAAAGTTATTTAATTGGTGATTTGTCAGTTAACCAGAGAAGATCTGCAAATTTTTATAAGTAAATTTTACTATTAAACCAAATGTGAAGTGCACCAATCTAAAACTATTTTTCCTAAATAAATCACTCTTGGGCTCATAACAAAAGTTGTAGAGCTCATCAAAATGCATCTAATGGTGATAAGAATGTTAAAATTAGCTTAGTAGTTCTTGAAAAATATTTTGCCAATATATAAAATTTCTTTAAAAAAATTTGATTTTTTTTAAAGAAATTTTATATGTCAGTAAAATGTTTTTTAAAAATTTCTCAAGAATTACAGATCAATTTTAACATTCTTACTACTATTAAATATATCTTGATAAGCTTTACAAGTTTTGTTATAAGCCCAAAAGTGATTTTTTAATAAGAAAAAAAGTTTTAAATTGGTGCACTCTATGTTTGGCTTAATAGTAAAATTTATTTATAAAAATTTGCAGATCTTCTCTGGTTGATTGGCGAATCACCAATTAAAAATTTTATTTTCTAAAAATATAACCCAATTACAATTTTTTTTTTAGAACTAGTAAGATACTATAAATAATTTATTTACAATTCTTTATAATTGCAAAGCCTTTAAATCAGTTATTATAAAAAGATGAACCCTATAAGTAGACTGAAATTTAATACAAAGCTTTTATTAAACTTAAACAAAAATTTATTAGTGCCTCTATACTCTGATACTCTGATTTCTGAATTGTGTTTATCCTAGTAACTAATGCTTCTTATTATAAATTTGGTACTATTCTTAGTCAACTTAATAGTTATAACAAGAAACATTCTGTAGCTTATATTAGTAAAAGTTTAAAAAAAGTAAAAATAAACTATAGTAATATTGAACTAGAATGTGCTGCTATAGTATAGGCTATTGAATATTTTCATAAGTATTTTGGAGCTACTAAATTTATTTTAATTATAGACTACTATACTTTTAAATAGTTATATATTGCTGAATTTAAAGAAAAACTAGCTAATAAATATTCAAGTTACAACCTTATAACTTTGAGATTATCTACAAATTTAAACAAATATATTCTAATATTAATATTCTTTTCAACTTTAAACTCAGACTAAAAAAACTAAGTTATTGTGAATTTGGATCAATATCATCAGTTATATTAGTATTTAAATACAGATACTATTTTAGGAAACCTTACTATGAATTTAAAAAAAATATTTAATTAATCAAATATGATATTTCAAAATTAGACATTATTTACTTTATAAAAAGAATAGAACAGATCTAGATCAATTTTTATAAGTAATAAACTGGATATAAATAAAACTAGTTCTATATAAATATTCTACTGTTAAATATTTAGAAACAAGGGTTTGGGCCCTATAGCTTAGCGGTTAAGCTGCCAAACCCCCACAGACTAGGTCGACAGTTCAAGTCAGGCTGAAGGCAAAATCTTAGGATTTTTAGCTTCTGTAACCCAATAGGGGGCCATAATTGAATGTGGAGCCCTGTGGTTAAGTCCAAGTGCAAGTACGAAACTGGAAAAGGAAATTCCCAGAAGAAGGTTCAATCGTGGAGTGGTGGCACTACGTATGACGGGTCATGAAAAGTTCTGTTACACAAAATGTTGCACATGTTAGTCCTCAATTAGGGGTAACTGGAGTAGCACCAACATCCCCAGCAGTTGGAGTATTTGATTGGGAGAGTGATATGACAGTAACAAAACTGGAGTAGTAAGAAAAGTGGTGAACACAAGGACAACTTGTAGTAAAGGATTAGTCTATTCGGAGTTCAGAAGCACCTCTGGCCCCAAGCCACTTGGCTTATTAAGGAAGAAACCTATGAGGACAGAGCGAGAAGGCTGAAATTCAGGGTATATAGTAAAAACTCGAAATGGCTGGATTTACCAGGCTGGTAATACAATTGTACAAATCGGGCTTGTATACCAGAAATTGATAAGGAATACCAAATACTGAAATTGGAAGTATTACAGACTGCAAGCCGCAACTAGGTCTAGACCTCTAAAGCTCTGTAATCTAAAATGTCAGGGCACCAAAACACTATAGCTCAAACTATGAAAGAGAAGTAATATGAACCCCGCAATTTGGAAGTTATGAGGTAACCTATAATGCAATATAGCGAGCCTGCACAAACACATGGGAGTATCTATCTATAAAGGTAACAGGAATCGGTAGCATACTAACTAAACTAGGCATTAATGACGAGGCTTAACCTGGGCCAGCATGAGTTCATCTTTATGATACTACCTGGGCAGATTAGCTAAAGATAACCAAGATTGAAAATAGCCCTTGAGGCTACGAGGCCATATTCTAGAAGAGACTATCAAATTTGAGAGCTTAGATATAAGTGGTATAAGAAATGTGGAGAATGACGTCATAGGGAAGTGTATCAAAATAGGACTAGTAAAGGGTGGAAAAATACCAAGTGAGTGCTATCCATAAGGACATATCGCTCCGGTAGGTTTGGATCGCAGATAATGGATCAGTGGCCAGATAGCGGATAGGGACACCTATCGCGCAAGTGATGGTTTTGGCCAGAGCATAAGTAACCAATAAAGATCCAGGTTTGAGCTTGGTGTACTTGAAATATGTAAATACAAATATATAATAATACATATAATGAAAGTATTAACAATAAATAAAGTCATGGGCAAAATCCCACCTAAACACCAAAAAAAAAAAAAAATTTAAAAGCAAATGCAATGTATTATAAGATAGCTAAATAATATTATTAGAACTAAATATATTGAGATATTAAAGAATATATACAGATATATAAAAAATGTCAAAAAAAACAAAAGGATAAAGAAAAAACCTTTACACTTAATCTAAGTTAGATAAGTTATTGAATAAATTAGTATTAATTTAGTTAAACTTCTACCAATAACTAAACAAAACAATTGTTATATTATTGTAGTAACAGACTATTTAATCTAATAGCCAGAAGCCTAAACTATACTAAATACTAGAACTAAAATATTAATGAAATTTATCTTCGAAAAATTATTTGTAAATATAGTTAAACTTTCCTATAGTCATTTCTATATAAGTACATCATATAAAAATTCTCTTTATAAGCATATTTATTTTAAAACCAACTATTATAAATATATAGAAAAAAACCTCTTTATAAGCATATTTTAGTAAAATTCTTTTTACAATCACAAATCTTTATCCTGAAAGGTGTGATTATAGAGAGGCTAGACTAGTGTTTTGACCCAGGTGGGTCTTACCCGAGTCATCCGCGGGTGGGTGGGTCACCCGGGTTGAGTTGTAACAACCTGGGTAGCCAACCCACAGGTCAACCCGTGGGTTCATAGATATGATTGGTTGATGAAAATCAATTGCCTAAATAACTAATTTATATAGTTTAAAGTACTTTTTAGAAATGTAACATTTACTAACAAAAATCATTGTAAAACCCATTTCTAGCTTCTATATTCACAGCTACCCTAGTGAGACCGTGAAAGATCGTCACAGATTAGGATGTCAACCATTAGTATTATCACAAACATAGTGCAAGCGGCATAATGAAGATCACTAATCAAGATTTTTTATATAAAATTTTATGATCTGCATACTCTAATTAACGGTTATGAAAAATACACTTCGCTGCACTTTTAATTCCTCTTTCAGTATTTAATATTTTCTAATTTTAACAACTTTATATGCTTTATTAAATGTGTCTTTATATTATAACAACATTAAATTTTACCTATCTTCTGTCTTTTTATATGGTTGAAAAAGTTGAAAATTTTTATAACTCGATAAGTAAATATTATATTAATCGTTAATAGACTGCTCGAGGTATATAAAAGTATCTTGAATCAGATACGAGATTTATATTTTATTATACAGATTATAGCGATGTGCTTATGATATTTCGATTTGCGACTATTAACTAGAATGTAATAAGTTAGTATTTAAGGGAATGGGTCCTTTCAGTTTTTCTGCTAGCTCGCCTTTGTTTTTTTTATTTTGATCTTATCTAAGACTATTAAGTATAAACAGTGAATTTAATGCTTGTACACATAAAGCCTAGAACTTATTTACTATTTCTTCATGATCTTGATATAGTAATCAAAAATTGTTCTGAATTGATTTATGACTAGTCTATGCCATTTCTCTAACAATTATCTACCTTGATATAGTAGTCAGCGATTGTTCTAACAAGAATTTATTTACTATTAGGCTATGTCACTATTTACAATTATCTACCTTGATACAGTAATTGAGAATTGTTCTTACAAGATTTTATTCACTATTAAACCTATATCGTTTCTTTAACAATTATCTAGCATCCAAATCGTTGAGAAAACAATTGTAAGGTAATTTTGTATCATTATTCATCATTACATGTTCATTAGCGATAATATAATTATTAGATTAAACAATAAAGCATATAGAATATAAATAGAAAAGATAAAAAAACGTATTTTGTAACTTTTTATTTAAATATAACCTGTAATTTTCAATTGAGTAAATAAAAAAAAGAAACAAATTTACTATATAAAATTTATAATATATTCAAATAAACTTCTAAAAAAAAATATTCATAGGTCGATTAAATCCAAGAAGTAGACAGCTTAAACAGATTCGAAGTTTGCGCAAATGCGAGCAACTAAAAGTGTTGCATGAAATTAAAAATGATCCTAGTGCTATACTTAATCATGTAATTCCAGCTTTTGCACAACTAAATGATAATGATTTTAACAGTGCAATAAAACAAATTTGTGAATCCTAGAAAATAAATACCCAAATTCAAAGAAAACGTAATGATATGATTATCCGAATCTGTAACCTACCAGATCAACAAGTATTCGATGCATCTACTCTCTTTCAAACAATGATTTATCCTCAGGGAATTCATAAAGGAGAAATAATTTCTACACATCTACAAAAAAAGGCCCTCGAGTTTGTTGATTCTAGTATTTATAAACATAACTATACCATTAATGCATTAGAATCAAAATTCAAATTTTTAAAAAAAGAAATTCGTCGTTTAGAAAAAAATAGATTATCCTTGAATATTAAAGTCCACTCGCTTTCAATGCAATTAGTAAAAGCAAAACAATTAAAAAAAAAGCAAATTTCAAAAATTCGGGCTGCAATTCAAAAAGCAAAGCAAATTAAACCTAATTAATTTCAAAATGCTGCTAGTAAATTATTTAAAATTAATTATAAAGAATATAGTGCAGAATTCATAAAACTAGCTACTGATATTAGTACTATAGGGCATACCTCTATTCGTGCAACAGTAAAATGTACTAAAGCTGTTTTTCAATTTCTAACTGGAGAGTCTTCACAACAATGGGTAACACCATCTACTTTGATACGATGGAATAAAGAAGTGGCGGCTTTGTCTTTTAGTCAAAATTGTCCTAAAGAAAATTTGTCTCAGTTTTTTGGATATGGTATTATGGTTGATGAGAGTATATAGGGTGAAAAAAAAGTGTTAATTATATGTTTTTCTTATTGGAATAGTGTTAAAGAAAGGCCTGTAATTACAATAGCAAAATTAACAGACCTAATACATTGTAATGCAAAAACAGTTTCAGCTACTGTATTTGAAACATGTCAACATAGCGGAATCAATCCTAAGAAATGCCACTTTTGGCTAACAGACAATACTGCTTATATGTCTTCAGAAGCTCATGGTGCAACTGCTAAATTTAATTTATTAATAGCATCCAAATCATTTCGAATTCCTTGTGAGTTACATGCAGTTCAAATCGCCCTAATAAATTTTGAAAATACGGCATTTGGAAAAGTAGATAGTGTTAAGGGTTTGTCATTAAAAAAACATCTGTATAATTTACTTAATCTTGCCTTTCACCTTCATGATGGCTATGATATTTCGGACAAGAATAGTCCATTAAATTTAAAGTCTAAAACATTACGAAGCTTTATAAGATTCTATTTGATTTTGAAATAAATAAATATCAACAACCCATTCGTCAAAGGTGGTTATATGAACTTAAAACAGCCAGACAGTAATTTACCAGACAGGATGTTCATATTTCTTTTACACAGTTTTTTATTGAGCAACTCGAAAATACAAAAAACATTCCTAAAACATATTTGCATAAGTGGAAAATCTTTCTTGAGTGGCTTACTGACAAACAAATTAATCTTCAATTGCGGTGCCTTGTTAAATTTGGGCAAGAATTTTATGAACCTGTTTATATGTTCATAACCGGCTATGATCCAATTCCACAAATTTATAGAGAAAATCAAAAGGTAACACTTCCGCCAGGAAATCGTGCTCATGAAATGCTGGATAAAATGTTAATCTGGATTAAAGACCTTTGAGACTGCCTGGATAATATTTATAAATTATTTGGTAAAGAATTGGCTAACGCTAAGCATAAATTAAATACTACTGATTTTGAGAATTTTTGTGAATTATTACATAATGGGGCAGAAAATGCATTAAACGGTTTTATTAAATAGATGGAAACTTGGGCTCACTTACCATTATGTATCTGTCGATTAGGAGGAGAAAATGGTTCTAAATTTACTCATGCATTCTTAAAAGTGTTTTTTTCCTGGAACTCTTCAAAAGAACAATCTATAACAGAGAGTTCATATATTGAAAATTTAAGAATAAACTTGTCTAATGGATGTATAACAACATTTGAATTGTTAGAAGAGTTAAACCATCTAAACTTCTTTGAAGAATTCACGACTTTTGCAAATTCTGATATAGCAGAGCCAGAAAAATTTCCTCTTGTATATGAATTTCTTAAGTTTTGTGTTTGGAATATCATAATACATCAACAACAGTTAGAGAGACTATTCAACTGTTACGATATGAAAGTTCATCCAAATATGGACATTCATTTGCAAGAATCACAGATTCAGCTTAGTGGATTGGATGGTGGAATTCAAGAAATCTCTCAGAATGATTTGTGAAATATTCACCAAAATGCCAAACATTTAGCATCAAATCTGGTATTAGAAAATCATATTGAAACTTCTAAGAAAGAAAAGGCACATGAAATCCTTAATAATTTTCTGCAGTATAAAAAATAAATATACAAGGTTAGTAATGTAATATATCTTAGCAGAATAAAGTTTTTTATACACGTTACTCTGGATATATCGACAATTTTTTTTTATTAGTAAAAAAATTCAAAATGTCGATATAGTGAGTTATACCAACATTTTATATTAAATTATGAAAAAATGTCAATATAGAAAGATTTTACTATTATATCATTATAACCAGATGTCGGTATAACCAGAGTGACGTGTATTACAGAAAAGTATTATAAATGTATATTTAGCAATCTAAGTAAAAAGTCCAATTCCGCTAATCTGGATTGATAATATGAAATTGTTTAGTAAGCAAATAAATAGTTGTTATATAAATGACGGGAATAGAAAAACTGTAAAAATTAATTGATTAGTTATCATTTTATCAGATTCGGCCTTAAAAAATCTGATGTGATCAAGTCAAATAATTTTGACAATAAATACCTTCTTTTTTTTCATAATAAATCCGTTTAATGACTAAAGTAACAAGCATTATCAAAGCTAGAATGACTAGTTGTACAAATTTCAATCACATATAATCATTATGAAATAATTTTTTAGGACCTGAATTCAATAAAGTGAAAGTTAGTAAATCAATATTACAGGTTTTATACTCTCGTCATTTACATGCAACAAAGAGAATACTTACACTCAACCAACTGTTCTAACAACAGGTCTTACTGTATTTATTATCGCATGGTCTAATATTTATTATGATCACGATTCAAAGTCTTAATGGCTAACTAGAGAAATAAAGGCTATAGTTTTGACAATTGAAAGGATTAGTATAAAGCTAAGTATAAATTATTTGAACGATACAGAAAAAAAACAAAATTATCTTATTACCGTCATATTATGTCTGTCTGGTTTGTCACAAATATATGAGTTTTATGTTATAATTAAATATTACAATCGTGAAAATTTTTTTAAATTGGCTTACGTTATACTGAAGAAGACGGTAAAAGTGAAGAAATACAAAAGGCATTTTATATGATAAGAATATATTTAAATAGAATTTCGACGTTGTCACTTTATAAAGATATATCTTATAAAATTATAAGCTTTTAAAACTTAAAAAAATATTAAATACTGAAAGAGAAATTGAAAGCGCAGTGAAGTGTATTTTTCATAAGCGTTAATTAGAGTGTCAGATCTTAAAATTTTGATATAAAAAATCTTGATTAGTGATCTTCATTATGCCGCTTGCACTATTATACTAATGATTGACACCCCAGTCGCAGATGCACCAATCAAATCTTTTCTAACAATCGCCTCTCTATGCAACCACCTACTGCGCACTAACAAAAAAAATTCTCCGTAAAATTTTAGTATAAGACAAGCCATAATTTCAGTCACAACCAGTGATGTAAATTGGATTCGCGCGGTATGCGCAGCGTACATAGATTTAAATTTGCGCATATATCAGCGCTCTCCGTATATATAAAGCGCGTATAAATTT